TTTTCACCACGATTAACTTTAATAGTCTTGTCTTCATGGTTTGTTCTGCAAATCTCTACGGCCTACCGTGAGCTTTTTCCAAGGAGTCAAGGGTAGCCATGTGTTGTCTAGACTGTCTATGCAGATTTGAAATTACCATGCCAGTCAGGGTCGAAAGCCAAGCGCGACCCGCATTAGCATCTCGATCGATTTGATCTTTGACTGCTTCGCTGCCAGTGGGAAAATATCTGTGAGTTTGCCACTGCATGGGCTTGATGCAGGGTGGATTTCAGAATCTTTAATGCCAAATATTGAGAAACACCCAGCTCCAATCCCAGCTTACCAAGTGTTTCACCATGTGTAAGGGGTATCAACGGCACCACCGGCCCAGGCCAGACGGTCCTTCTTCGAACGGCATGGGCTTGTCGTGCAAAGTTGTCCCGGCCTGGTTTTGTTGGAGTGTGGGCCAGAGTGCGGCCAAACCATTAAGGAAAAAAGGAAACCAATAACCCTTTGGATAATAGTGGAGGGTGTGCATGGTGGGAAAAAACATAAGGAAAATCATCCCGGGATAATCTGAAAAAAAAACAATGATTCATGCAGCCTTGAAAAGTCAAGTGGTGCTTGGCCAGTGAACCTGGTTCCAGCCATGGTGACCCCAGAGCACTTCGATCGGGTCCTGCGAAACCTTTTCGCGTTAGGATCTCCCAAAGATACTTGCCAGAATCGAACCTTACTCAGAAATCCAAAAGCACCTAAAATGCAAACCCCCTCCGGGGGGTGTGAGGGGGTTTGCATTTGAGGTATTTTGAATCATGGAATATTCTTGTTAGGGGACGGAGACCATGGGAGTAAATATGACATGACAATTGACAGATTGACAAATAATTTGGTAAATTAACATCCAAAAACCAAGATATATAGCCTGGGCCTACTCAGGGTTGATCAGGTTATTTATCCCCATGTGTTTCTTTTGGGTGACTCCTTTGTATATAGGTTATCCATTTGTTTACTTCGGAAGCGTGTTATCTATCCTCATATATGGGTTTTTGGTGCCAATCATCTTGTGTATCCCCAAATGGATTAATTATTGGAAGATAGTTGTATCATGTATCTATCCCCATGTGGTTTTTTGGTGTCAATAAAATTAGGTTTCCCCATGTGCTTATTGTGGATTGATTTTGCTATGTATAAAACTATAGCCCTATATTTGTTTACTGGGATTGATCTTGTTCTGTATCCTCATGTGTTTTAGCATCAACCAAGCGACTGGCTATAGCGGGCTTGTAAAGATCGTATATCATATATATAATATATTTACAGTATAGGTGCCTGACAATGCCTAGGTGCTAATCACCTTGGTGCTCTTGATTAGCTGGTTGGAGCCAAATGCATTTCCCAAGGGTGGCACTTGGGAGGTGGTGGACCTATTTGCTGGGGCAGGGAGGATAGCCCGAATGGCTCGCCTGAGTGGCCAGCGATCTGTGGCCTTGGACCTCCAATACAGCTCCAACTCCCATTGTTTCAATATCAATGAGGATGCGGGGATGCTGTTACTTATTTGGGATTGCTCAAAATTTACATATGGCTAACACAGAACGAAACAATCCCAAAATGGATGCTTATTTTGGGGAAAAGACCAAACTTTAATTTTACAATATTATGGGACCACATCGAAGCTTTACAGGAACCCCTTGACTGTTACAATATAGGTTGGGTTATCATAGACACCTGTTCTTTTAGATGGTTCTTCCTCACATCCGGGTTGTGGCCCAGGTTAGTGCTGAAATCAGTATTGGAAGGTGCCTATGGAAAGGTGCTGGTAACCCTGGGGGTATGTTGCTCAAGCTGGGTGGTTGCATCCCGGGGGTCGACAAAAAGATCATTTCTCACTCCGATGGGGTGCCTGGAATTTCCAAGTGTTGCATCTGCCAACCTGATGGTGAGCAGGCCTGTTGTTCCAAAATTTATTTACCATTGAATATGTGTAAGTAGCCGTAAGTAGCCATCCACTTTCATATCCAGCAAAAGCTATTGGAGGGGTGTCTTATCTTGGGGAGTTTTGTTGGCACACACACACACACACCCATACCTAGGTGAATCTTAACAATCCCACTTCACCCAAAACACCATATGACTATGTTTGTGGAAAGTTTTGCGGGCACAAGGTTTAACCCCCCTAAGGTTATATAAATATAATATAATCCATTCAAATCCACCATGGCCACCACCCTGTCAGCACTGCTCTGGGCACCGTGGCAGGTGTGTCTTGGTGTTGCTTGTCACCTATGCGATGCTTGGAACATTCTACTTGGAGCAACCTTCGACTTCGTTGATCATGTTGCATACCAGGATGGTATGGCTGCAAGATCTTCTAGAGAAACACTCAATGAGGGACCCTGGGTTCAGATTTGGTAGTAATGTTTCAAATGCCATGAGAAACATCGGGTTTATTTGGGTTGATAGTTCCCCATGGTATCCCACAAAGTGTGGCTCAAAGCACCATGAATGTATATATGAATGTATCATATTTATATTTGATGTTTTTTTGGTGGCACAAACTGGTCAGCTAAGATGTTTCGCCAGACGTTCTGGATGAGAGCCCTACAGCACCCAACGCCGAAGAGAACGATTCTTTTTTCCAACTCCCCGACATTTGGGATGTTTTCTTTTGCAGCGAGACTGTCCAAGATGCAATTGGCCACAGATACCAAGACCACTGACCGGTATATTAATGGTAGCGGCAAGAAGAGATTCAAGGGCAATGGCAAACTTAAACAAACCCAGTGCCTTGTCCCAATTACACTGGTAATGGAAGTGTTCTTGCTTTGAATGTCTCAAGTGTTTTTTGGCAAGGACCATACTATATGTTATGTTCCTGGATAACTGCTCCAAAACCTTCTGTCACCCCTTGAATCCATATCAAGTAGACAGAGCTTTGATGACTGCAACAATGTCAACAAATTGGAATCATCACCCAGTATTAAATCTATATAAATGTCCCATGGAGCCTATTCCATCCGGCCCTTGTCTGCCCACTAGCTTTTGCGCCTTGGCCCAGGCTTTATACTTGGTGCTTTGCCCGACACATCCTGCAAGCCAACGACGTTGCCAAAACGGAGAAGAGGGACCCGATCCCACAGGCTGTTGGGTAGTGGAATATCATGCTCTGTTTCTTGGTCGATCTATACTATATAATCCTCTTATGCAGTCTATATCATATTGGATATTACTATATACAGACTAGTTTATGAGATTTGCCCAAAAAGGAAAGGGGACCCACTGGGTTGTGATTCAAGCAGGGTTTGAAACTCATTTGACTTCAAAAGGTTTGAAGGTCAAAAAGGACACTGAACCCTGACCACATCACAGTAAACCTACTGTTTACTGCCTGCTGTGTTGGTGGATTCTAGGTGGATACTACGACTGACCTGAAGACCATGTATGCCAATCTTCCTTGGGACGATTGCTGGGAAGATGCTGAAGTCCGTAGTGTGATCCGATACATTCGGGGGTCCAAACTTTTAGGCATACCCGCAGACTGGAGGCCTTTGCTGCCTGTTGAGTTCTAAGGGCACCTCTACTACTGTTGTGATGGGATCCCATGTTGAATATATTGATAAGATATGGGTAGACTAGCCATTGGTACAAATATATATTTTGGCATATGGCAAACGAGTGCCAAGAACCTTTTTTTCCGAAACGAACTTTTTTCATTTTGGACAAATGACCAGACCGTCCGGAGGACGGAAATCGGCGTCCAACGGATGGAAAAACCCGTCCGATCCGGACCCGTCCGGAGGTAAAGGCCTAAATTTTATAAAGCGAACTTTTTTGGGTGTCCGTCCGACCGTCCGTCCGACCGTCCGGACCCGGGGCTCCTCTCCATGCCCAGCAGTGCAGCAAGCTGCCAGCTCCCCTCTTTGAGGTCTGGGGTATAGAACCTTGCAACAATGAAGGTTTTGTGGACCAAACCCCAAGTTCACTTAGAAGCCTTGAAAACCCACAGTGTTCTACACAGGAACCACTCTTATGACAATGGTTGAGATCCATACTAGTTAGATTAACAGATTATGATGACCTTTGATGGTGGACATCAGGAACATTGTGTTGGCCACATTGTTCTTAATTTAAACATGGGGATGTCAAAAAATAGGGATGCCCAAAACTTGATGAGATACTATTTCAAGATTATATAAGGCCTTGGGGCACCCCTATTTTGAGCCATCCTCATATGTATACTTCATCTGCGCTAGTTATTTCTTGATGGGGTAGGGCATCGGCCAATTGTTCCAATTCATAAATTCTATAACTTATGATATAACATAGTGTATTTAATTGGGGCAGTATTCATCAATTCTATAACTTATGATATAATATAGTGTATTTAATTGGGGCAGTATCCCCTATGTTTTCCTCTATTGAGTTGTAACTCATCGATGACTGGTCCCACTGTTTTTTATTTTGTACATAAATTTGATCACTAACCTTGGTTTCTTACAATAACATCGATGATCCCACATACACAAGTTGTATTGGTTTTCCCCAGGTCACTATCTTTTACTAACAACCATCCATGGTCCCCTTTTCATTTAGTAGAGCATAGTTGGTGTGAAACCAATCAACTCTATACCACTTGGGTTCCCAAATTGGCCTGAATTTGGACATGAATCGATCAATGGTCCACTTTTACACTCGTAAAATTTGTGTGGATGTCGATTGGATCACCATCCCTTGGTTTCTCAGAATGAAAAAGAAATATCGATGGATGGTCCCATCAATATAGTCAAACAATCGGGTGACTATTTCTGGGTTCTCCCTTCTGGTTTGGGTTTGCCACCGCAACTGCTTTGGATTCAGGTGCTCAACCCTTGGGAAGCTGGGGTTTGTTTTTCACATTCCAAAATCCCTACTGGTGGCTTTCAATCAAGATATATACAGGTAAACCATGTTGAACAAAGGATTGCCATATAGGGGCCAACTCAACAGGCAATTGCGCACTGAAATGGAAATGTGTGGCAATGGCCAAGCGTATACGTTCCCTAGCTTCCGTTCTGTGGGATACGGATCTTGAAGCAAGCGATCAAGAAGGTTACCAGATTCAGGAGGTGGATGCAGTCCAAAAAACCAGGAGACTAGAGAAAGAGAATGCTGATCTCTTGGCAGAGGTGACCCATTTACGACAAGAAAACACGTTGCTGAAGATCCCGAAGCCAAGGCCCACAGAGCCTAGCCAGCTGTGCCGTACCCGACCGGAGCTTTTGCGAACCTGGCCACTGCAGAGATGGGTTGCAAGTCTTGGGGAGGATGTCTTGAGGCTTCCCCGACTATGGCAGGAGATTCTTCCTCAACTACATGACTCAAACAATTGTAGTGAAAGGATCCTCTTTGATTTGTGCAAGTCACCCAAAGCTACAGCGAGCACTATTCTGTCACATGCAGAGCGAACTGTTGAGAACTTGTTCAAAAAACACCCTGCTGTATTCAAAGTGGGAATATCATCGAATCCTGTAAAAAGATGGAGCCACCCTCTGTATGGCTATGCTCTGGATAAGCGAGAATGCTGGCTTGGAATGAAGATTCTAGCTGCTTGTGAAACTTCATTTAGTGCAGCGTTGGTGGAATCTTCACTAATTCGAATTTTTCAAAACAGCCCAGGTTGTCGAAATGATCGACCTGGTGGGGAAACCCCTTCACCGGATGAGGGACCTCATTTCACATATGTGGTCTATCGGATTTTGTTGCCCCCTCAAAAGGTGGTTTCACCTGCAATTAGAAAGCAAGCAATTTGCCAACCCTAAGTGTCATTACACTTTTGGCACTCAGTTTGGATCATGTGGCTATAGTCTGCCCAAAATAATGTGTCGTTACGTTGGGGATTGCTCTGTGCATACCTGGGAATAAACAATGATGATTTTTTCATCGAAAATTGAAATATAGATCTGTGCCATCCCATCCATTTGATTTGGATACCGAGTTGCCATATCTTGATTGACATTGGTATGAGCTGGCTCAATAGCATCAGCTGCAGCTCGTTCTGTCTCGTTCTGTGGTCTTGCGACGATGAAAAATCAGCTACCGTCCCAGAGCTTTAGTTCCAGTAGCCTTGTGGAAGGTGCAAGGGTGCTACGGGATCAACAGGTAAAATCGGAACCAGATTCTGCCGCCATGGAGGCTGAACTGCAGGACCCATCTTGCCTTCCTTCTGCTGTGAAATAGTTCATATGTTGAATCCCCAAGTTCCTGTATAGATGAACTACTTTGTCTATATCTTCTATGCCCATGTATATACACCATTGAGTAATTCGATATGTACAGCTTTTGGATTCGGACTGGTGGCTTGTAAGACTTCCTTGCCAACCCAAGCTTTAGAACCAAGATTTGATTAACCCTTTTACGAGTTCCAACCGCTGCCAGGAGCTGAAGAATCGTCGTGCCGGAATGGAAGCAGCACCACCGGTTAGTTCTCAGCCTATCTTCCCCCAACCATGCTCGACCTTTTCAAAGGCTACAGATGTGTCTACTGAAACCCCAGACAAGGTTCTCAAGAAGATGCGTGCAGAGAAGCCAACAGAAATTGAACCACCAAAGCCCCGTCGCTTGTATGAGTCCCCGTACTACAGTCCCTCTCCTGCCAAACCCGGACAGTTGGAGGGCCTCCAAGCTCCAGCATATCCCGGACACCTTGGCGAAACAGGAGAGTCACCGGATGAGGTCTGTGCGCTCAAGGCCATGAACATGCAACTTGAAGCTGAGAAGGCAGGATTGGAGCAAGAGGTTGCCAATCTTAGAAAGCAGCTGAGTGACATGACCCTGAACCAACCAGATGAAGGGGATACCCAGAATGAACACACGTTCCCATCTACTACGGATGAAGCAGTTCGCAAGCGTCTTGGGAGAATCTGTTCAAGGACTTCAACGGGAAAGCATGGCCAAGAACTAGTTTGACAAAAATATTGCATCAGTAGGAGCATGTATAGTGATTTACTTTCAAACATGACTCGGTCTCCTCAAAACATTGTTTTCAAGCTAAGGATGCTTCAGGTTCCCCTTGAGATCCACAATGAGTGGAAGCAGGGAGGAGCTAGCCGTGCACGTTTGCAAGAACTCTTTCAACAGTGCAACTTTGACAAGGCATATGGTAGCCGTGTACATGAAACCATGATAAATTCATCTGTATAGAAACATGTGATTGGTTTCCATTGGACCAAGGGGACCCTGTATTAGTACATTCTTATTTATATATATTCCTGCTCTTTCATGTGGAGGCGACCTTCATCAACTACGTCACTGTGGAGACAGAGAAGCGCCAGAGCGTCAAAGTGAAGGTGAAGGCTCAGTGGGCCAGTGAAGACAAGATGCGTGAGGTCTTGAAGTTTAGCGCGACACTTGCCCCTACTTTATTGGGGGGGACTACTTGCTCTGTGAAACCACTACAATGGGATGAAAATGTCCACACTGTTTCTGTGTTGCCCCAGCTGAGGGCCAGAATCAAGGCTGTCAAAGACTACTGTGAGAAGAAGGGTGATCATACCAAGTGCCTGGGAATCAATAGACATGCTTGTCCTCAAATGCTGAAACCCAGCCTATCCATGTTGATGCCAAACAGATCTCACTAGTAAACATCTACTTGGTGTGCAAACTTAGGTGGGACAAATATGAATCCAAAACCTTGTTTTGGGTGGAGGAAGAAGTAGAGGCTGAGTATGAATCCAGTCGTTCAAAGACCACACGTGAGCAGTTTAACTATGAAACCGAGCAGCCAGCTCCGGATGCTTTGCTTGAAGCAGCTGCACCCCTGACCTTGGACATGGCCGATGTGCGAGACACCCCGACAGGCTGGACGGACCTGTTGATTCTGCACAGGGTTTGTAAATAAAACTTTTAATTATTCTCATGTCTTATTCATGTTCTCCAAACTGACTTTTTTTTTGGCTAGGGCTTCCTGGCCAAAGTGGTGGCAGTACGGATGACCAGAAGCGCCCAACACCTACTGCTCCTGTCCTGCCACAAGTCCAGAAGAATGAGAAAGCCTCCCAAGTGATTTTGAAGTACTTGGATGGAACCACCAAACGCATCGGAAAGATTTCCGATCCTTGATTGAAATACCACCATTTAAATTCACACACATGGTTCAAAATGACATTGAGTCCTTCTTTTGTTTCCTTGCTTTGGTCCAGTATCAAAACAACAAACTTACTGTAAGCCCAGGAGTTGAAAGTCAAGTACGAGACGATTCCCCAGGAGCTCAAGACAGCAACACATGATGCGTTGCCTGGCATTTCCAAATTCAGTTTAATGGGGGATCATAGGGTCTGATCATCCTATCCAATGTTTGGTATTTGGTACTCAGTCATGAGGGCCCTTCAAACTACAAAATGCCAAGGACTATATATTTTAACATAATTATTATATGCATAACAGATTCTATCTTTTGCCTCAGGTTTGTCAACAAGTTGACCTCTATCACCGATTCCTTGGAGAAGCAGCAGACTTCCATCAACGAGATCTACGCTGAGGGTGCAGTGGAAGGGTACTCTGTTGAGTGCCCATTCTGCATTGGGTTGTGTTGGCCCCCTGCATGTTCCATGTGCATCCCAAAGATGATATCCGCAAAATACCTATTGAGTTTTTTGGGGTTCAGAATTTTCTAGCATTTGCAGTATAGTATACCACCCAGGGTGTTAACTGGTAACGCTGTGACCATCTTTTCAAATCAATGCTTAGTTCGGTTGAGGCAAGAGACTTCGCTGATGGGCCTCTACAAAGTCAGCATGAAGTTGTGAGGGCCTTGATTTCTGTCCTGTTATTGCAGTACATCAAAACATTATATAGCTGAACAGTGCCAATCTCTACACTTTAGTTTGGACAAACACTTTTGCTGGATGCTAAGGGCCCAGGAATCGTTGTCGATGGAAGCCCGTTCCAAGTCGATCCCAATCCCGAAAGCTAAGAGTAGCGCAGTGCCGGCCGGAAAGGCCAAAGCGAAAGCCAAAGTGAAGGCAAAGGCAAAGCCTGAGCCAGCTCCGAGCCAGGCGGCCAAAGCGGCCCCAAAGCGGGCAGCCGCTCGTGCCAGTTGATGTTTTCCATGTCCCCACGTCACAATGAATCTTGATGATTATTGATGGGAGTTCCCCTGTACCACCAAAAACCACATAGTGTATATATTATATAGGTTATGAAATGTCTAGGATGTGTTGCTTACATCGTTCACATGTTCTCCAAGGTATATATCACCTTTAGATGGCATCCAACTTCCCATGATAGATAGGCAATGCCCTATATTAACAATGTCCGGTTTGGGTCATAACCCCATCCATCCAAGCAATATATTAAATAACATTTGTTTAGATGTATACCTCTCCTATTATATGAACCAATCCCCCATCTATGGTTCCCATTTTGAAATCATATGATAAAATTCTAACAACAAAAAACATCTCCTTCATAGTGAACACCATTGAAGTGACCAAGTGGGAGGACCAGCATGGGCACTTACAAGTGCAAGCCCATGAAATTTTGGTGAGATTTCAAGAAGCAAGGTCGATCTGCACACTCAGAGATCACCGAAGGGGCAACGGAGATCAAAAGGTCCACATTGTTTGTAATGTTTACATGGGTCTATATATACCTGGACCCCCAATTGACACCAAAACCATCAAATTAAGCCAGTTCAGTTGCTCCAGTGAATTGGTGCCTTTTTCCGGGTAAGCACTGAAGGTCCAGGTATAGATAGCTGTTCAACCTGATGGTGGTCTAGAATCGGATTCATTAAGTATGAAACCATTGCGCCCCCACTGTCTTTTGGGATTATTTCATGGATGTTTTAAAATGAGATAAGGGACCCAGAAACTGCTGTTGCAAATAAATTTGAATTGGGGAACTGAAGATCATGGCAAATACGTTTGCCATTTTTAGCTATGTATAGGTATATAATATACACACCAATCTGTCCATGGCACCGTGCCAGGTCAAGCCAAGCCAGGAGTCATGCTGAAAAACTTGGCCCTTTCGATGGCCGATGGAGCCCCTTGATATTTTTCTTGGTTTTTGTTTCAAATTTGGGTCTTTGGTATTAACTCCCCTTTCCTTTTTACAATTGTGGGGCAGACCCCAAGTGACTTCCTGCACCTCCATCCATTTCCCAACCTAGGCTCCCGCTACTCGTTTGAAGAGATTTGCCTTGAGCGCGATTGAGGAAGCCAAACAGGAGGGATCCCATGAAGTTTCAGCGGCCATCAAAAAGGCTGGCAATATGACTGTTGACAACTTGAAAAATGCAGAACGTGATCTTCACATATTGTTTCGCAAGTATGGGCTGACCATTCCTGTGCAACTCAGCACTCTGAAATGTGGGCTATTTCATCTTCATTACATTTCATTGCAGTCGTGGTTTGCTTTTCTACTCGGTGATTATTCCCATCTATTATTGGGAGGCTTCAACATTGACGATCCCCTGTCTGGGCTTCTGCTGGAATCTTTTTGGCGGAAGTATCGAGATGCGAATGGAGACCACTGGGTCTACACTGAGCATGCTGACAATTTGAGAAAATGTGTTCCGTATTATCTGCATTTAGATGAGGGAACAAGCCTGAGGAAATCCAGTGTTCTTGTCTTCAATATGCAAGCCGCTTGGGGCACACAAACCAAAACAGATTTTGAACGTCTATGGTCTGCTGGAACTGGTAGATCTGATGCTGACATGGAGAAATATATGTTGGAGGGGCAATGCCACAACCAACGTGGATCATCCTTGATGTCACGGTTCCTATATACCCTAATTCCAAAGAGGTGGTACACCAAGAAAAATGAATTCGTCTATGACAAAGTTTTGGGACACATCGCTGCAGAGTCCCAGCGGCTGGCCTCCGAAGGCGTGCGAGGCATGTTTCCGATCTGCCTGGGCGTCAAAGGCGATGCCCCGGCGCTGGCAAAAGCCGGCCACTACACCCGGTCTTTTTTGAACCTTGTTTTCTTCTTTGTATATTTGGGTTTATCCGATATCAGTATTTTTCGGTTCATTGGATACCAATATTTTGTCTATTGTTGTCCCTTTGAGTGTCAATCAAACAACATTAAATATATTATATAACTATGTTTGGCCCAAAGGATATCACATACTTTTTGGGTGCTGTTCAACCAACTCCCCAAGGAAACTGGCCGAGAAGGTTGGCAAAGGTATTTGCCCTGAATGCCTAGCTGGGTTAGATGATCTTCCTTTTGAAGATGTTTCATGGAACCCGAGATGGCTGCCAAGTGAGGGGTTGGAAAACCCTTGGGATGATGATGATGTTTCACCACTGCTCCAAATTCCTGGTCATACTGCAAGGCAACATGAAATCTTTCGGAAAGACCCATTTCACATCTTCAAGCAAACGGTTGGTGGCCATTGGGTTGCAAGTGCCATCGTTCTGTTGAGTGACCTTGGATATTGGTCATCCCCGGGTCAATCAAATCAAGCTGATGTTTTGCTGGAGGTTGCTTATCAAGATTTCCATCACTTTATGAAAGACGAGTGGCAAGGTCACCATGTTGCCAACATCAAGAACTTTACCCGGGCATTGTTGCACTGGCCAAAGATTAGGACATTCCCCTACGGTCGCTTCAAAGGGTCAGACTGCATGCTGATGATTCGTTGGCTAGCAAAAGTGATCCAGAAGGGAGTCTTAATGAAAGAAACCAATCAGAGACAAGGAGTCAGCTTGCTTGATCGCCCTCTTGAAGCCTGGCACAAACCATTCCTACAGAACATCCTGTTGGGGAGCACGGCATCTGTGGAGTTTTTCCGCATTTTGCACACTCAAGGTGTTTGGCTTTCCAGGGAAACATCACGGAACTTGGCTCTACATTGCTACAACTTTACCAACAGCTACAGTGGGTTGGCGCGCTTGTGCCATGGTCAGGGCTTGAGGCGTTTTACTTTGGAGCCCTCTTTGCACTATTTCCATCACTATGCGGTTGATGTGACTGCCAGACTTCAGGCGCAAGATTCTCATATCTTGTCTCCGAACCAGGACAATTGTGAGATGGATGAGGATTTCGTTGGCAGGATTTCACGACTAAGTCGTGCAGTCCATGCCTCCACTACAACGCAACGAACGTTGCAGCGATACTTAATCAAGGTTTGGTTTGTTCTCACAGGTCAGGACTGGGGAGCGAGTGGCTCCACCAAAAGAAAACGAAAGTTGACTAGAACCGGGGGAGTTAAAAAAAGGAAACATCAGAATCAGGTGAACAACCCCTGAGAGTCCTCCTGTCCACTGAGACACCCGGCTGCGGTGCCAAACGGGCATCACCAGGACAAAGATCGTGAACCGCACGTGGCTGCTAAACTGGGTCTGGGATGAAGGGATTGGATTTATCACTTATATAATCTTATATACTGACTTGATCCCCCAAAACAATGAAAGACCTTTTTTTGATTCAGTGACCCCAAAAATGGTTGAACGCATCAAAAAAATGGGGTAACAGCAAGAGGCCTAAAAACGGGCATACTTGGAGACTCAAGGTATATATATATA